CTTCTTTTACCTTTTTTCTTTCTAATAAAGTTCTGTTTTTTTAAGAATCTGATTGGCTTTTTTAGTGTCCTAAAAAACCCCAAGGTTGGTCTGTGCTCATCTTGTTTATTCTCAAGCCAAGGAAAGGGGATGTAGGGCTTGGGGGGATACTAGGGGAGAGTAGGAACTCCAAGTGGTCCTTTCCCTGAGTTTTGTCTAATCACTTGGTGGTGGCAGCGTTACCTAATCCAAGGTACAAGGGAGAATTTGTGCCTTGGTAAGTTTTTAACCTAAGCTGGTAGAAATAAGCGTAGCGGGTCTTTCATGCTGGTCCCCACATCTGTACCCTAGAGTTCAGAGTGGGGAGGGAACCCTGACAGGGTTGTTGGCAGTTGAGGGTCAATTACAGTAGCTCTCATACTGCACTTATTTATATCGGTGCTTTATCAGCTCCCAGCCAGTTCCAGCACTGGGGAGCACAAAGGTTGCATAAAGTCATCTTAGCTCATCCACCCCATCCTGCATCAAGTGCAGTTTGGTCAGAGTAGATAATCTGGGCCCTGGTTTCTATTGCTGCATCTTCTAGAGATTTGACCCCAGGCAAATCACTTAGCTTGCTTGTGCCTCAGTTCCCCCATTTGTGAAATGGGGATAATGATACATGGGAGGATGCATTCATTATTAATGTTTGTAAAGGGCTTTGAGAGTCCCAGTTGGAAGGTGCTATACCAGGTTAACGGATTTTATTATTCATGATTAACCCTGAATTTGTCAGTGCCTGTGTCCTCCTTACTGATACCAAAATTCAAAACAAAACCTTTTTGAGAATGACTGCCCCTTCTTCAGTCCCCTCCCCATCACCCACCACCCAGGCCCTCAGATCCAGATTCATCTTGATCTCCAGCCCTGCTCTGGAAAAAGATCTCTTCCCCCTTTTTGCTTTATTTAAGCTGCTACAGTCCATGGGTGGAGAGTCAGGGCGATATGGAGACTACACAAAGAGCTCCCTTTCCTCTGGGAAATTAACCAACATATTTGTTTTGATTTCATCTCAGTTTCTTTGCAAATGACTTTGTGCTGAGCCATTGAACTTTCTGTAAACACTGTAGTGAGAGCCATAAAATAAATCATCCAAAGAAGAAAAAAAACCCCAAACACACACATGAGTTACTGGAGCCAGTTCTCCCTGCTCTTTGTCAACCATCACAGAAGCTGATTTTCCTCTGAGTCATATAGAGATAACATAAGGCAGTATAAACAAGCAGTGGAATCATGGAGCAACTCAGAAAATAGAGATGTTTATTTTTTGAGCTTTGACATGCATTAGAAGAGACATCATTGCAGTATTAAAAAAAATCCAGCATGTTATCATCACAGCAAGCATTGGACTTCTTCAGACACAGAACAGTATTAGAGAATAAATGACTCAATATAGTCTGCCAGGCAAGAAATTATATGTAGCTGTCCAGATGGACTGGAAATGGTACGATGTTTTATCTTCTATCCTGGGCAAACCATCCAGTGGGAACTGTGCCAGTTCAGGCTCCCGTTTGAGAGCACTGGAACCCCACTTTCTTCCAAGTGCAAGAAAATCTTCTATAGTAGAAAGACCTCCAGGTTCAGACCAGGATTTTGGAGTCACTGAAGTAGAGGCAGTCCTTGTAGATTCCATTCCAAGGTGACCAGACTCTTTGTATTCTGGGTCAGGACTAAGGACGTTTCAAGAAATTATACATTGAACTTTGATAATTATTCTTCTATGCAAGTGTTTGTAGAGTTGTCATGTGTTCTGTCTTTGTACAGCACCTCACACTGGGGTTCTGGTCAATGACAAGGGCTCTTAGACACTAGGGTAATTCAAATAATAATAAATAATAACATGGAATGATTCAACTTTATACTGCTTTCACATTAACAAATCCTCCCAGGACCTCTGTGTAATATGATTCTCTTTTACTGATGGGGCTAACAGTGACTTGTCAAGACCAGAGAGGGATTCAGTATCAGGGCTGGGATCCAAACTCAGGACTCCCTGGGCTCTCAGACCTCTTCTCACAATGCACCTGTGCCTAGAGTATACACAGACCTTTAGCCACACTTCTCTCCTAGGCCCCCTTTCTGTTTAAGCCTCACTATCATCAGTTTTCATCTCTTTCGAACCAGCCCAGACATGTTCTTTCCACCAGCCCAGCAATGAAGATAAAGGAAACATGAAGGTCCCAGTCCCTTCCTTTGTGTATAAAAATGTGTTAAAGAGAAGGAGCTATCAGAGCAAATGTATTGCTTCTTGGTGACCTTGATGCATGGGCGGCAGGTGAACGTGCGGTTGGGGGAGGCTAGACCCCGGCCCCTCCTACTCTGCTCCTTCCCTTCTGCCCCCTGTTCCTCACCGGAGCCCAGAGCACCCCTCCACCCACGGCAGCTGGCCCCCTTGCGTGTCCCCAGCCCCAGTGCGCCGGGCGGGTGATGCGCCTGCAGCCCCAGCCCCGGAGCGCCAGGAAGGCATAGATGACAGTTTTGTAACTCAAAGAGTGTTGCAATCAGCTCAGGGGAATTCTATGTTAGACCTGCTCTTGACAGATAAAGAGGAACTGATCACAGAACTAAAAATGAATGGTAGCTTAGGTGCAAGTGATCATGACTTGATCACATTTATAATGTGCAAACAGAATAAAGTCCAGAGCAGTAATATATATATATATACTTGGTGATTTAAACGGGTCAGATTCACAAAGCTGAAACCAATTATGAGCCAAATCAGCTGGGAGGAAGAATTTAATCAGAAAAATTGTTTAAGAACACTTTGCTAGATTCCCAAAATGCCACAGTCAAGGAAGAAGTCTGTATTGATTAAAAAAACAACCTGATTTAGAGGGGGGATGAAGGAAGCTATAATAAATAAAAATAATAAAAAAAAAACATGTGGAAGAAAGGGGAAGCTGATAGTAATAAATATACATCAGTATTTAGGAACTGTAGAAAACTCAGAAAGCAAGCAAAAGGCATAGAATAAGAAATCTAGGGCGAGCAGAGTTAAAGATAATAATAAATAATAATAATGAGTTTTTAAAATTATATTAGGAACAAAAAGAATCCTGACAATGGTATCGGTCCATTACTAGATGGAAATGGTAGAATTGTCAATAATAATGCCAAAAAAGCAGAAGTGTTCAATAAATATTTCTGTTCTGTATTTGGGGAAAAAAGTGTCTCATCATTATGATAAAATTCTTTCCATTCCACTAGTATGTCAGGAGGTTGTTAAACAGCATCTACTAAAGTTAGACACTTTAAAATCAGCAGGACCAGATAACTTGCATCCAAGAGTTTTAAAAGAGCTGACTTGGGAGCTTACTGGACCTCCTTACTTTTCAATAACACTTGGAACACTGGGGAAATTCCAGAAGACTGGAAGAAAGCTCATGTTGTGCCAATTTTTTAAAAGGGCAAATGGGATGACCCAGGAAATTATAGGCCTGTCAGCCTGACATCAATACCGGGCAAGATAATGGAGCGGTTGATATAGCACTTGATTAATAAAGAATTAAGGAGAATAATATAATTAACGCCAATGAATATGGGTTTATGGAAACAGATCCTGTCAAACTAACTTGATATCTTTTTTTTTATGAGATTACAAGTTTTGTTGATAAAAGTAATAATGTTGATATAATATACTTAGACTTCTGTAAGGCGTTTGACTTGGAACCACATAACATTTTTGTTAAACAACTAAAATGATATGAAATTAACATGGCACACATTAATGGATTAAAAGCTGACTAACTGATATGGGGAATCTTCTTTGAGAGGGTGTGTTTCTAGTGGGGTTCTACGGGGATCTGTTATTATATTAAACATTTTTATCAGTGACCTAGAGTCAGGAGATACAGCATGCCAAACTGGGATTGCATTATGGAGTCTGGTCAGGAAACCAAATAATATTTAATGTGCAACACCCACCTTAATTGTTTTATTATGTTAAAATGTCAAGGTTGAATCTAACCATTTCTGCTTAAGGTCAAATGCTTTGTGATATCCAGGAGTATTTAAAATGCTGCCAATGAGCCATTAAGAGCCAGTAGTTAAATATAAGTGTGGTTTTTGCTCTGTGATTTATTGTTTTTTGGTAGGGCTTGGGGCAGGAATATCAGCATTGAAACAAACAGCTCATTTCTCTAAAGCCTCGTCTATGCTAACCTTCTTTCCCTTAAATTTCCCACAATTCCTTGAAATGGAACCAGGAAAGCAAAAGACAGAACCAAAAACAAACAAACAAACAAAAAATCATTATATCACCTAGATTCTAAAAGAAATGCATCCATTGAGAGCCAAGCAAACAGCAGTGCTGTAATGTACTGGTAGTGGGTGAGTGAGCTATGTAAGAGCGAGTGAGTGATGTTGCCCTCTAGTGGCTGGCTTAATACTGGGGTAAATGACCTACTACTCCCAACAGTTACACATATTTTTATTGAGTTCATGTATTAGATAACTGTATGTTTAAATATAAAAGATGAGGGTTCTGATCTCAGCTCTGTTGTGTGCAATTTATATTTTAGCTGCATCTGCAGCACATGGGTTTGTTCCTGTCTGTGCGAGAAACAAACAAAGCAATAAAAAGCAATCCTTGGGATAAGAGCCCTGCAGATTTGGATGTCAGCTACACACGAGATAGAGATTGGCTTCTCTCTGTGTGAAAATTGAGTACAAAAGACAAGAGAAGCGAAGAGCCAGTAGGGACATTTCTTGGAGCTCCGCTCCTTTGACACTATATTCTTGGATGTAGCTGAATGCGATGATAAGAGCATAATTGGAGAGAATATGCCATGAGCTGGGTTATACATATGCCAGCTTCTACATATGCCAGCTTTAAAACAACAACAACTACAAATGAAATCAAACCTTTGCTTCAGGAAAGGTGGTTGCCTGTGGCATTTTCCTTCATGTAGGGTTGGCAGGAGAGTTTTATTATTAAAAATGCAGATGGCTCCAATGGCTGGAAAAAAGAGAATTAAAATCAGCTTGGGGAAGTGCATAGAGTTAGGAATTTGGGAGTGTGACAGAAATGACATGAGTCCTAGAACAAATGTCAGGTGTATCAGAGAGCACAATGATTGTTATGTGTACTCAGGATAGGTCAAATGCTGCCCTGATTATGACTACAATATGTTTACATGGGGTGTAAGTCAGGAACAAGTGTGGTCCTACAAAAATAATGTCTTATAGCACATTTCTGCCAGGGATCTCAGATCTGCAGTTTAGGTACTATATTGGGGCCATATGTATGTCTCTAAGAAATCTCTACAAAGCTCTCTGTGTCGGTGATACTCAATACTGACTCTTTGGCATGTTAGCAGCTGTGTCTGAAGTCTCTGTCCTTGAAGAGTCTCGGTTTGATTTTCAGACTGGCAGTTCTGCTGTGCAGAACAGGTGATGGTTTCTTGAATTCATATGTCCCCTTTCCAAACCGTTTTACATTCCCTTGGTTTTTACTGCAGGAGAAGGATCAGACACAGAATGTTTGCTGTGTGGCTCAGTCTTTATTAACTCCAAGACATGTGTCTTGTTAGCCTTTATAACAGACTCTATAGTACGACTGGCAAGGCAGAAAGTCAACTGGACATAATACCATAGACCATACAGTTACAAAGGTCTCAGTCAGGATGTCTGCTACCCCCTATCTGCTACAGCCAGAAACAGTGGTATATACCAGAGATTTCACTATTCTTGGTTCCCCTACAAAGGTACACATAACTCACATTCTTCTGCACCCCTGCCTTCCATTATGTTAGCAGTGATCAACTCCTATTTGATAGCATTCATAGAGAACCCAGCGGATCTACAGCCCTTTTCCATTGCACTGGCCATTCACAGCCAGCTGTTGAAAGCTCCTGCATAGTTGCACAATGCCCCATATGGAATAAGGATTAGTAATTTAATTTCCCTTATGAACAGTGTGGCATTTCAGTGTTCTCAGACTTCTTAATCATGAGTTAGCCTACTCTTTCATTCCTACTATCATTATCCCTCTCCTTTTCCTTGACATTCAGGAAAAGTTCAACAGGAAACTGTCACATAACATTTTTTATCAACTCTTTCTCCCTTGCTAGAGTTATTAATTCTTTTTATTTTAATATTCAAGATAATAAAATAATAGTATTTTACACTGGGTTAGCCGGAAAGATTCATCAGTGAAATGTTCTGCTTCTGGGAATGACTGCCAAATCTGTTTAATACTCTACAGAAATTCTACCCAAGAGTTTAAGACAGGAAGTAAGGAAGCCATTCATGTGTAACCACAGGGAGAACCCAAATAGGCAGAATGTAGAAAAAAATGTCAAATTTAACTATAACATCAGGACTACTATGTACCCTTAGTTTCTCTGTGCCTCAGTTGTCATCTGTGCAATGGGGATAATAGCACTTCCCTATGTGATAGGGGGATTGTGAGGATAGATACATTAAAGATTGTGAGGCGCTCAGATATTACAATATAGGTAGCCATATAAGTACCTAAGATTGACAGAAAATTTGTAGAAGAGAGAGCATTCAGTGTTTAGTTATTCTTACGAAGCTCCAGTCATTCAGTCTGAGAACAGAAACAATACTGTGTGTGATTTAGGTGACCAATCACACAAGACAAATAGTGAATAGTCAAAAACAACAGTTTATGAACGATCAGTTGTCCGAAACTCATTCACCCAGTCCATTCAGTGAAGCCTTATGACTAAATGGATACACTCACACTGTTTAGAGAAATGAGTGATACATTGGCTGGGGGGCTGGCTGTTTGGGGGAATCGGATATAGAGTTTCCCACCTCTATGTCACCAGTTACAATCGAGCCAGGTTGTTAATAAGGGAAAGTTGTTTCTGTCGGCTGACTGTTTAGTGGTTCAGATTAAATGAGCAAAAAACCTCAATCCAGTTCCTACTGGACAATGGTCCATATTACTGACACTGTCTGCCACTATCCTTGGCAGTCTCACAGAGGTTATAGATTGAAAGGACCGTGGTATCTGAACTTCCCTCTTACCTTTCACAGGTGAAGAATACTGAAAGTGTGATATAGATACAGTGTATACATTGCTGTCGCCTGTGCCATATCTATTCTGGGGATGAGCAGAGAGCTTCAGTGTATGGCACTAAATTCATTTAGCTAGATCATAATGTTGGGGATTTTTCAGACCTCTATGTCCTGCTATCTCCAGGGTGCAAGGTGAAGGCACAAAGCCTTTGTACATGGAAAGCTTTGGGCTGTGCTATTGTAGCATCATCTCTAAAGGGAAATCTGTGGAGACCGGAGACTGATGGCTGGGGGTTGGGGTCAGGGTCACTGATGCCTCTCTCAGTTCTGAGGACATCTGTGAAAGGACACTCTGGGTATTTCACAAGACAGCTGTCCTGATGAGAGATGCATAAACCAACAGATGAGCAGAGCATGCACAGCACACTAAATGGGGCAATTTTAACAAAGAATTTCAGTGGCTTAAATGGGTCGGTCAGAAGCCCTGCAAAACAAAGTTTGTGAGAAGCCAATTTAATCATGCTGTAAGTAAATAGCCAGTATTTATTCCTAATTAGCTCTTATATAGTATTTTCCATCCATAGATAATTATCATTACCTCTGTTTTCCAGATGGGGAACCTGAGGCCCAGAGCAGTGCAGTGTCTGCCAGTGCAGCATGAGTTTCTGGGACCAGTACTGTGGAGAGTGCTGTCATATTTTCCATAGAGATGTTTTCTAAGGGCTTGTCTGTGCACAGCCCGGCATAAGCAGCAGTGCAGAGCTGTACCATGCCTCCCCTCCTACACTGGACCAGTCCTGTTTTCTAAAGGAGACCCCCCCCCCCACTACCTCTGCTTTCCTCCTTCCCATCCTCTCAGATGTTCTCCTGCATGGCCCTTATGCAGGCTATGGGAGTGGGATATAGGGGGGATGGCTCCTTTTGTCACCTCTGCCCCTACTCTGACTGCCCACCTGCCTAATGACTAGGCACAACTGAGGTTAAGAGCTTGATCCAGCTCCCCATTAAAATCACTTGGAGTCTTACTGACTTCTCCCTGGCCTGCCAGTCCCTTTGGATCAGCCCCAGGCTCAGACTAAGTCCCTGGATCTGAACTGCTCAGCTTTGGGATGAGTTGGTATCGGGATCCAGATTTTGCAGCATGGCCCATCTCTGGTGGACCTTTCTCATGGGTGCAAGGTGAAGGCACAAAGCCTTTGTACATGGAAAGCTTTGGGCTGTGCTATTGTAGCAGAGAAATTACAGTTCCTGTTTTTCATCCTCTTCTTGACAGGAGAGGCTGGCTCTGATTAGCGAGAAAAGAAGCACAAAGGTTTGTTTGGCTCTTCTCCAGGCCTCTCTTCTTCACCCTGTGCTCGCTCTCAGCTGTGCTGCTATTCCTAGCCAGAGAGACTAGATCCCAGCCACAGGTATTTACATGGCCTGGTATTTTTACAACCACAAAAAGTTAGTTTCCTTTTGGCTGAAAGCGGGTGGAATCCCAGGTCTGGAACATGTGCTGGTGGGGTAATGTCTGGAAAAAAATAAAAGAAGCCTACAACATGGAAACACAAGTGCTATGGAAACAAGGGACATAACAAACAAGGCTTAAAGAGACAGGCTCAAAGCTCAGACTTTTGGAGCCTAGAGGAGGGAAACATACATACAACAGAACTATTGAGGTTTTTTTGTGCTGGGCCAAAGAGATGGATTAGCTTTTCACTTAGCTATTAAAATGATATAAATCAGATGCATGAAGATAGATAGATAGAAAGATAGATAGATAGATAGCATTTAGTGTGGTGGCTTTCATCTGAAGTCCATTAAAGTGACATGTGACATTTGGAAACTGAACTTCTTTTCTCACATTATCCCTTTTGACAAAAATGTCCACAATTCATGAAGGATGTTGATAAATTGGAGGGGGTTAAGAGAAGAGCCATGAGAATGATGAAAGGATTCAGAAAGATGACTTTTAGTGATAGACTCAAAGAGCTTAATCTATTTATAATAACAAAGAGAGAAGTTTAAGGGGTGACTCGATTACAGTCTAAAAGTGGGGGGAAATATTTAATAAAGGGCTTCCCAGTCTGGTCTGGTCTATACTACCCGCCTGAATCGGCGGGTAGAAATCGACCTCTCGGGGTGGGACGCGACAATCGATCCCCGAATCGGCGCTCTAACTCCACCAGCGGAGGTGGTAGTAAGCGCCGCCGACAAAAAGTGGCAGAAGTCGATTTTGCCGCCGTCCTCACAACGGGGTAAGTCGGCTGCAATACGTCGAATTCAGCTACGCTATTCACGTAGCTGAATTTGCGTATCTTAAATCGACTCCCTGCTGTAGTGTAGATGTACCCAGAGAAAGGTATAACATGATTCAATGGCTGGAGTTTGAAGTTAGACAAATTTAGATTGGAAATAAGTTGTACATTTTTAACTGTGAGAGTAATTAACCATTGGAACAGTTTACCAAGGGTCATGGTGGAATCTCCATCACTGACAATTTTAAAATCAGTATTGGATGCTTCTCTAAAAGATATGCTGTAGGAATTATTTTGGGGAAATTCTATGGCCTGTGTTATACAGGAGGTCAGACCAGATGATCACAATGGTCCCTTCTGGCCTAGGAATCTATGCATGTATGAAGTTGTTCCAATGGTTAATTACCCTCACGGACATTGCTCATGCTTCCTTCTTTCTATTCATGTACTGTAGATACAACAGTAGGGAGCATATCTTTGTAATTTGTTAACCCACAGATAGGGCTGGTTGAGATGCTGCTGCCAAACCTCTGCTGCACAGTTCTCTGGAGTCATGGCAGACAGAGGCAGCAGGTTTGGATAATTTTTGGTGGTGCCCAGAACGGGTCCAAATCCCCCCCTCCCAGGGCTCTGGGAGGGGGTTCGGGCTCTGGGAGGGAGTTTGGGTGCTGGGTGCGGGCTCTGAGCTGGGGCAGTGGGTTGGGGTGCAGGAGGGGGTTCAGGCTCTGGGAGGGAGTTTGGGTGGGGGTGCGGGATCTGGGATGGGGCAGGGGGTTGGGGTGCAGGAGGGGGTTAAGGGGTTGGCGCTTACCTCGGGCGGCGCCAGCTCCCGAAAGTGACCTGCACACCCCTCTGGCAGCAGCTCGGCGCTCGGGGCTGGGGCAGCACGTGGAAACACCCCCACCCTGGGGCCGCAGGGACATGTTGGCCACTTCCCGGAGCGGCGCGGAGCGGGCGGAAAGGAAGCTGCCTTAGGCTGTGTCTACACTGCCACTTTCGGCACTAAAACTTTAGTCGTTCAGGGGTGTGAAAAAACACCCCCCTGAGCAACCAAAGTTTTAGCGCTCATTTGGGGTGGTTATTTTTTATCACTGGGAGAGCTCTCCCCCGATGATAAAGTGTGACTACACTGCCCATGTCACAGCGCTGCCACGGCCGCACTGTAATGTGGGCAGTCCTGCTGCACTGCTGGTGGTGGGAGCGGCATCTGGGGGCCCCTGGGCCCTTTTAAATCACCCGGGGGAAGCAGGAGGGGCTGGAGGCACGCAGGGGTGGCAGATGGTGCGGGGGGAGAGACCCAGCCCCGAACATTGGTGGAGCCGGGCCCCCAGGCCCTGAATATTCATGAATTCTGGGCACCAGGGGCCCATACAACTTGCCAACCCTGATGGCAGAGTCCCACCCTCCCAAAGGCAGGTCCCAATGCTAGCAAGAGCTTTTTCCAGTGGGTGGCTACATGTTGACTGAGAACCCTCTGGTAATAATTACTTAAGTTTCATGGAGATTCTGGACGCATCCCTATTTAGCTAGCAGTGGTATATCACAGGTTTCCTTCCACCCAAGGCTCCCTGGCTAACAGGAGATCTCAATACATGTCATCTAACTTCCTTCACATATGCAATTCTGAACATAATTTCTTTTGGGTCTTTCAGTTTCCCTGGTGGGTCTGAACTGCCCCTTGTGGGCAAGGCAGAAGAGTTTGGGACAGATGTGTGTGGAGGTAGATATGGGCAAACACTAAATCTTAGGCTTTATAGCTGAGAATAGGGCTCAGCTGAGGAAGATTGGTCTTGTAGGCACTGAACTTGGACTCAGGAGACCTGGATTCAATTTGTGCTATTGCCACGGGCCTCCTGTGTGACCTTGAGCAAGTCACTTAATCTCTCTGCACCTCAGTTCACCATCTATAAAATGGGAATATTAATACTTCCTTTCTCTCATCCTTTGTCCAACTAATTTAGATCATAAGCTCTTGATCTGGGGCAGGCACCCTTTCTTACAATATGTATATACAGCACTTATCACAATGGGACCTCAACTTCAGCTAAAATCTGAAAGTGTGACTTTCATACAAAAAATTCTTTTAAAAAGTACATCGACTAGATTGACAGGAGCTCCCAGATTTCCTACTGTATTGCATGCAGGTTCTTATACTATGCTGCTCACTGTGTTTCTGAACTTCCTGAACAGCTACCTAGTGAGCTCTGTATAGAAATGGGGAAGGTGCAGTAATCTTTTCGGTCTCATGCTCCCTTTGAAAAAAAAGAAAAGAAATAGGCTTCTAAGGTTGTTTCCCTGTTTTATTCAAACTCCTCTACAAGATTCTACTCCTTGAAACCCATCAGGATTAACATCTGGGTCATTTGTTAGCAACCCAAAAGGACCTTCTTAAATGCATAGCACTATATGCCTCTTTCTCTTCTGCCTTCCTTAAGCCTTTGAGGGGCCATTCCTGGGGTCTTCTTATCTTATGGGGACATTTTTTCCAGTGCTGTTGCCCTCACTCTTTACCCAGGCTGCGAGGAATTAGAAAGCGCAGCAAGCATGAGGTATTTGGATTGGAATGTTTGCTGCTCCAGGGACTTAATGGGCTACTGGAATACGCAGACTTCGCTTCAGGTTTCAGTGCACACACACTGTAAATCTTCTTCACAA